TATATATATATATCTCTTCTCCTCTTCTTTGAATGTTGCTCTCTAGTTACACTTCTAATCTTCTTCACTTGTATGACCTTATTTTGTTGCAAGTGCTGTAAAATTTGTCCTTAAACTAAACTTTGACAATGTCTACATTATTTTGTTTTTCTACTCTCGCTTCAAGGTACGTTGTGATTGCATCAAAAGAAACAAATGAAGGGAATTATGAGAGTCTTGATTCCAAGGGGACAGGAGGAACAAGTAAGTCTGTACTTTGCTACTGCTTCAGTTATATATGATTTAATTTCTTACCTACTGAACTTTTCTCTGGATTTGGTGTGAACACATTTTTTGTTTATGAAAACATTCATAATGGTGAAATAAAACTACTCTTTAGTTCAGAACTAGTGAACTGACGACAGACCAAACCTGAAACAAAATGAATGTAAGCCAGGCCTATATATCAGCCCTCGATCTATTTGTTCTTGTAGTGGAAACTGAAATATAATTGGATCTCAGTAAGCAAAGAGTGAAGTAAGAATTAAATGTAAGTGTTTGTTTTTTAGGGGGGAAGTGTTTTAAGGTGCTCGTAACTGCATATGTGTTATGATGTGAGGGAATCAGGCGCTCGTCTATTTTAGGTCATGTACAGTTATTGGTATTATCTTAAAGCTTGTTCAGTTGTCTTGACATTGGTGAAAAAAATGCCCATCTCTCTTGAATAGAAATCGAAATATTTGGGATTGAAGAAGGTGGGGTCACCTAGTTTCACAGGTAGAATTAGCTGGAAAATGGCCGCCAAAGTCTGATTATTACCATAGCTTGATAGTCCACGGAGACTAAAATGTTATATTATTTGCACGTTTAATCAACATTTTTCTGTAAAATCCTCCCAGAAGTGTGTTCTTAATTGGACAACAATGGTGTTAAGCCAAAAAACAGAAATTCATTAAATATTGCCAATCTTTCAGAAAAATGCTAGTTTCTTCAATTTCTCTATTTTGACGAGCGCCTGTTTTCACCATTCTCCGTCACAGATGATCGAATGAGCATGCAGGACACATTAAGCATTTTCAGTTTGATAGGAAGTAATTTTGAATTTTGCCCAGGTGGCAGCTGAAGCCCACAGGTGTTTTCTCTGCCCCCACAACTCAATACATGCAATTTAGAAGGCGGGTTTCGACCCTGCATGTCAGGGCTAATCTGGGATGGGAAGGACACAATGTCGCAGCAGAAAGGCAGAGACACTCAATTAAAATTCTTCTAACTCAAGACTCAAACTCAGGTCTTTTGTGTGCGATGGTTAAGTTCCTTTCTAACAGCTACCGTACAGATGCCTGGAGAGTGAAGTATTTCTGCTTTACTTTCGGTATTTTATGGGTTGCTTAAATGGCTCAGCCTTTTGACTAACTGTCCCCATTTGCTCATGTTTATAACCAAGCTAAGCAAGCAGAGACCACTGGAAAAGAAAACTAAGGTTGTGTGCACCTCTGTCCAGTTGATTTTTAATATCAGTTGATGCGATATGTGCCCATAGTTCTCACAGGGCAAATGCCATGCCTAATCTCTAATGATGTTCAAATCTGTGTATAATGAAAATTCAACATTTTTTTATGGATGGGGGTTACTCCTATGAGTAAGCCTGAACTCCCTTTCCTTTATTGAGTAATCTGCCTTTGATCATAGTCTTGATGAAATTTGATTTTGTTTTCTTTGCTGTTCTTGTGAGCCCTCTTTAGAACAGTATTTTATTATTATTATACCAACATTTTATTTTAGTCTCTTGTCTATGTTGGACCCCAAAGATTAAGATTGTTTATTCTAATACATGGGTGTATCATAATGTATTACTAATTAATGTGCTCATATGACCTTTATGCAGTTTCAAGCGCTGTAAAATTCTTACCAAACAAATGAACAATGAGTGCTGAAGCCTGCATCAGTTTATAGAAAGCATGGCAAGCCCGGCATAGAATACTTTTACTTTTGAAGTCATTTGGATCAAACAAATCATGTAGTGGATTGAGTTAAAAGATTTAACCTTTTAAAATAGTATAGCATCTTAAAAAAGAGAAACCCTTGGGAATCGGCATTATCTTTTAAGTCCTGGTCAGGGAGCTCTAAAGGTACAGCATTCGATTTTCATTCAATAGGTCCCGAGTTCGAAACCTGTCAGCGATGGAAAATTTTCTTCTCTAAACTGTTCTCCTTTCACCTCCTTTCCTGCTCTCTAATCATGTTCTGCCTTCTGCTTTCATCTCCATTTTCTGCTTCCCCACTCCCCCCCTCCTCTGGGCTCCTGACTCTTTCTACTGGTACTCCTGGCTCCTTTTTGCCGTCTATCAGCCACGCTCCTAATCTTAGGGTAGGTAAAATCTAACACCTAACCTTCTCGGAAAAGGACGAAAAATCTCGGAGGTAATGTGTGCAAGTTGTGCACGTTAAAGATCCCTGGACAGTCTTAAAATTGATAAGAGTAGGCTTTGGCCACCACCTGGGCAAAATTCAAAATTCCATAATTAACTGAAAATATTTGATGTGTCCCCTGTGCTCATATGGCTTTATGCAGTTGCGAGTCCCGGAAAACACTTACAAATAAACCCTAGTCCCCCCTGAGCCTAAAGAAGCCATGCACACCAGCTCTCCCTTGGGGATGAAGGATGGATTTTCATCACCAATCGCTCAGGCTTGAACACAGGCCTTATGCCTTTTTGACGATTTTTTAGCAGTATGCCATGATGCAGCTTTGCCTGGGCATAGAGGAAGTAGATTAGGTGTAAACACTTCTTTCCTCCCTTCAGATCTTCACTTCCTTGATAAATTATGATCCAACGAGAGACATGGTCATTACCCTTAAAAACTGAGGAAGGTGTTAGGATTAAGATAAAGTTTTGAAAGAAAAATGTTCAACTCAGTTCACCACTCTCTGTTCTCATTCTTTTTAGTTTTCCCCACCTTTCTTTGGAAATGTATACTCAAATCTTATTGAAGAGTCTGGCTATCTTTAGCTTATTTTGAGCAAAGTGTACTGTGCCATTGATTTCATGAGAATGCATTTTTTTATCTTTCAGGCCTCATTCCTTTTCTGAAAGCAGTGAACATGGACACACAATCCAAGTTTGTGAATTCCAATGCTGAATCAAACGCTAAGTCAAAAACTTTGAGTTTCCTGAACACAATCTTCCACTCCAGGGCTACAGCTTGTGTACTTGTAGGGCTTGCTATAAGTTTTACTGCAAGTGCTGTCTTTAAACGTCTGAAACTCTGATAAAGAGTTTCATGCGTATGTTATCTTTTGTTCAATAAAAGTTTTTTTGCTGAAGCATTGTCCCAGTGATCATTCTGTTATTTAAAGAACAAAATGTAATAATATTTGATATATAAATCTGTGAAGAAACTAATGACTTTTAACTTTTAAAAATCAGTATCATGTTTCACCATAAAACAACTAAAATGCACTGATTTAGTGATAAACAAACCATTGTTGTTTGAGAGATTGACATAGCTTGCTCTTCCTATTTTTTAAAACTTTTTTTTACACTGTAGATATGTTTTAAATTTCATTGGCAAACAGAACTTTTACTTGATGCTTGCCGAAAACATAAATATTTTCTCTTCTGTTTGCTTTTGCAAGTCGTATACGTTTATTTTTCAGTGTTTGTTGTGTTTGGAAAAAAAACCTCTCATTTTTGTTGTATTTCCTCAAGGAAAAGTAAGTCCCGAATCTTTTTTGCACATCATAAGGTGATGATAATTCTTTGCAAGGATTTTTTAGTAAGATTTAGTGAAAATTCACTGAAGCTCACAAACTCACATGCAAGTGATTTATATTGTCCAACGTCTGTGCACTTTGTAAAGTCAGATTGTCCGCTTTTCTTTTTCTCTTTTTCTTCCACTTTATTTTCCAGTGTACACAATACTCAGAGATTTTGGCAGTAACTAAAGAATGCATTATATGAACTGCACAATCTCTTATCTTTTTCTGTACACAATAATGGTTTTGTGAATACTGTCCAAATCAACTGCCTTCCCCGAGTGTATGGAAATTTTACATTACACACACATCAAACTATTTATTAATCAAATATTTGTTCTGTTGAGACGGGCATTTTTTTTTTTTATCTTCGTTCAATTTGAACAATTTATATTGGTCTAAACTTTACAAATGAGGATATTCACATGATACAAGTAAGTGTTTGACTTCAGATTTGTGCCCTGATTTTTAAGCTATAAGCATGTGGCTGAATCTGTGATGAAATGTATTATGTTTCAAAGAATTTAAATTGTTGTTGCTTAAATGGTTGCTGATCTTTCATAGACTAAAAAAACATTACATATATTTATTTTCATATGATGTATGACAAATGTCCATGACTTTTAAGAAGGAAGTTCATACAAGTCATTTTTACAGTATTGTAATAAGCAGAAGTATATTTTTGTTGCTTTATCTTTGGTATTGTTGCTGACTGTTCTCCACTATGTAGCTTTGACATGATTAATGGTAAAGTTTTTTTGGCTATTACAAAGCTTATTACATGTGATGCTTCACTTTCTCCACTTTGTAGCTTTAACATGTTTTTTTTAAGAATGATATCATTTGATAGCTTTTACAGAATTCATTTCATGTGATGGTATAGTTTGTTAATTTTTTATAATTTTGGACAAACCTAATAAAAATAAAGATCAAGTGTGCATGTTGTCTTACTTTCCTGATACCATAGTATTCAAGTTTGATCATCTAAAATATAGGCTGTGATTGGTTGGTGGGTGCTTTGGTGTCGCTTGTTCCTTCTTTCCTATCAAATTTCTATCACCTTTGTTCAAATCTCTCCTTCTTTTTTGTGTTTGCTACTCTCTTGTGAAACCTCTAATCTACAGCACTTATATTAAGTTACACATATATGACTTTACTGTGTTGCAAGAACTGTAAAGCTCACTCTTACTAAAACTAAAATACTAAAGTTACTAAAGAATCGTAGGCCTACTGACATGGCTGACTTTCTTTCCTTTACCTCCCCGAAGTCTGTGGTGTAGCAGTGAAGCGCTTCACTGTCATATGCAGGATACCCAAGTTCGATTCCTGAGTGGGGAGAATGTTTTTATTAAGTGAAGTTTTCTGGAACTCTCTGCCGGGATGTTGTATCACTCCTCTTAGTCCAGATTGGCCCTGACAGCCAGGGTTGGAAGCCTTGATTCCTAGAAGATGGAAATTGTGTCCATGAGGAGAAAAAAACAAATGTTTTTCCGATTCCACAATAATGAAAGCTGATGATTAATGGGTGCTCTGGTGTAATTTGCTTCCTCTTTCCTGTCAATTATCTATCGTTAGAACTTAAATCTCCCCCTTCTCCTCTCTGTTTGACATATATTTCAGTAATTATTAATATCTTACTCTCTCTCTCTTTCTCTCTCTCTCTCTCTCTCTCTCTCTCTCACTCTCTCTCTCTTTTCTTTCTAGCCAAGTTGTTATAGCACTTCCTGAAGGTGGTCTCTCTTTCTCTTTAGCCCTTTTTCTGTTCTTCACATGTGCAGTTACAGCTTGCACGTTTTTAATCACTTGCTCATGTGTGTCGTGTTGTGTGCGTGTAAGTGTTTGTGTGCAGGCGTATCGGAGCACCGGGGAACAGCGACTCTATTTTAAAAAACAGGAAAAAATGTGTCCGGGGAACAGCGACTGTCCTAAGCGAATACGTTGTTGTTGTGGTATTGATGAAGGTATCGATACACCTGCGGCCTGCCAAAAAGATTTTTCCATAAACATTTAGAACTATGTCTAATCGTAAAAATAATATCAAATTCGGAACCAGCGTGTCCAAATTAACAAAATAACTCGCGTTTGACCGTTTTTCTTGCTGGATTTAGAAGATCACAAAAAGAAGTATTTTATATAGATCTAGATTCTACCAAGATTGCATCTAGTAGTATTTTCCTATCACTAAGAGGAAAGACAACAGTATAATAGAACACCCCCCCCCCCCCCACCCCCACCTCAGTGTGAAGTGACACGTGGGAGGCTGTGACGCAAAATTCCTTTGAAGTTTGCCGCCGCGCGGGATTAAACATTGCGCGCAGAATTTTCAAAATAATTATTGCAGCTGAAAACGGATTTCATTTTCGAAATCGGCGTATCAAAATAAGCAAAGTTGCTCACGTAGAACCTGATTTGATGCCATATTTTAAAACTGGAGCAAACGTTGTTTTTTCAATTGTCTATTTTCAATCTAAAGTTATGTATCAAGGTCACCCAGTGCGCTGTAAGTGCATCTAATGCCAAAGCTGCTAGGACTACACACTGCACACTAGATATCTACTATCTACTACCTACTGCACAGTCACTGTACAGTGTACAGTATGGCGTCTTGGTCGAAAGACACTTATTCTCTTTATTGACATGTAGAGGCCTACAGATCCCTCAGATGTCTATGCACGATTAAGTCCAGAGACTACAATAACAAATCATTAAGAGAGGGCGTGTCATTAGAATTTAGCAACTAATAACTCCGTGTTCCTCTTTTTTTACGTTTGTTAAATAACAACACTCAGAAAACAGGCAAATTGTTGCGAAGAGTCATCTGGCGCAAGAAGAAGGAATCTCCCCCAATTGAAAGGGAATTAGATACTGTAAATTGAAATGTGTAAACAGAAAATGGGGTTTGATAAACAGATCTACTATACGAAGAATGTAATACGATTTATCGCTGAGAGTAACCTGGGCTTTACATATTAACCCTTTTCACGGTATATATCCCTTTGACCGACAATTGGGTGTAACACACCCGCACGTGTATTATACAGTGGGTTCCAAAAGAAACTTGATAATGTAATCACCCATCCATCAGGTTAAAGCCTTACACTGCCCACTCGTACACCATACCAATTTAAAGCTAAATAAATTCTGCATCATCTGACACAATAATATTTCTTCTGTGTTAAGAGATGCTCGAGATAACAATATGGTCACTCAAAATTGACCTTAAAAATCAGGCTGGGCAAAATTGTTCGAAATCACAGAAACGTTGTCTTCGCACGTGTATTGGGGACCATCAATATTGAAAGAATGGACATACCTTGCATATCCAATGAATGGAGATTTTGTTTCTCTGCAATAAACAATATTTAAGGTCGATAGTTTCAATTTCAAACAAAACAGAAAACAGAGCAATCACAAAATACCACAAAAACTTGGACAACATTAAATATGCTCATTGTTATTTTGCGTAGGAGCCACTGGTTTTATGTAGTGCACGAACCCATAGATCATCGACTCAGCTAAATTTTGAACAATTATCAGTCATTTCATGCTAGATGTCACAGACGGTTGCAAGCGAAGGGTCTTAATTGGGATCAACGTCAATTTTCTTCTGCAGCTGTTTCATGGGATGTCACATACCTGTAGGATTCATATCGGGCTATTTACTGGTGACTACTCCAAAGTTGATATTGTATAGTTTTCCAAGAATTGTCTCGTGATAATATTGGCCCAATGAGAAAGTGATTTGCCATGAATGGAGATGTCTACTTGAATGACACCATGAGGGAAATAAGGGTAAGACATGACATTCCAACACTTGCGCGATGTAGTCAACTAAAGCAAGTCATCTGATGATTCACATACGGACGATTTTGTTTATTCTGTCCCAGACCACCCTAAAAAATGGCAGTTTCAAGGCCTCTGCTCCTCACTGACAGATTATTAGTCCAGAATCTAATTAACACAGCCATGTGCTAAAAGTTTTGCGCTCTACAAGAAGACCAATAGCTCCTAAACAAAAACAAATTCATACTAATGAGCATATGCAATGTTGAGTCTAAGTTCAGCATGGTATTTGTAAGTAATCTGTTTTCTAACTTGTTTGAAAATGTACTTCAGAAGATGCTGTTCTTCGCAGAGACAATGATACTTTCTTTTCATTTGATATAAAATACATATAGATTCCACCAACGTTGATGAACCTCAATACACGCGCGAACACACTTTTACGTTTCTTTGATTTCGCCAAGCCAGAGATTTTAAGGTCAATTATTTTAAAAGCCCATATCTCGAGCATCTCTGAACATAAGTGAAATATTATTGTGTAAGAGAATGCAGGATTTATTTAGCTTTAAATTGGCATACTGCATTAGTGGGTAGTGCAAGGCTTTAACACGATGATTGGGTGATTACATTTTCAGGTTTCTTTTGGACGCCACTGTACAGTAAAACATGTACTCACCTTACATCTGGTGACTGAATGTAAGAAATCCAACTCTTCTTTTTCAGTTGAGCTCTTATTTACTCAAAACGCTACATAACGCTCAGCCTTTCCCCATGGCATGTACTCCAAGCAAAAACATTTTGAACCCCCCCACCCTTATAAAAAATCGTACTCCATTTACTCATCATGTTCTGTCACCAACGAAAGATGCTTTTCATCTATGCTCTTTGAGAAAACGATAAATACTGCCATTTATTGTTGATTCTACAAAGGAGGAAGTATTGTTAGCAATTGTTTATTTTCTCGCGTTTAATTCCAGCCGCGCTCTAGATCCAGATCTAGACAGAAATCTAAGCATCCCCGACTGGACATTCGAAACTTTGCGCCGGAGTTAAGAATACGCAAACCACGGCAATGTCCTCATTTGTAGGTAGTAACATACTATTTTAGCTTCAAAGGCCTTCTGTTATGATTTTGATGGCCATTGAGTGAGTATACTATTCTCATAAGAGTTCAGAGTGGTCGCTCGATACGGAAGTCCTCCTCCAGAATGAAACGCGAGAAAGTGAACAATTAACGCGTTGTTAGGTCTAAATTCTGGGTCACTGTTACTCGTTTAAAAGTATACACAACGTCAAGCTCACGCTTGGCACCAGGAACCTCATCATGCTCAGGATTCTTCTTCTTCTTCTTCTTCTTCTTCTTCTTCTTCTTCTTCTTCTTCTTCTTCTCCCTCCTCTAGACCTAAGGGGAAGTCGATTGCTGGTTCTTTAGCCTGCAGCACAATTGATTTTTACGTAAGTGACCGCTTTTCATACTTCGTAGGGCCCCTTGCTTTCAGGCAGCAACGTCCAGATTTTAAACGGTACTGTTTATGTTTTTATACTGACTAGAGTATTGTCAGGTTTTGGTATGAATCAATTTTGAATTTTGCCTTGGTGGCGGCCAAAGTCTACTCTTATATCGATTTTAGAACCACCAAGACAGCTTAAAAAGTGCGCGGCTTGCACATGGGACCTCCGAGATTTTTTGCCCTTTCGAGAAAGTCAGATGTTCGGTCACTTCAACCCTACGATCAGGGATTTGTGGCTGAAAGACAGTAATGTAGTAAGAAGGAGCAAGGAGAAGCAATACTTGTAGAAATATTCAGGAGCAAAGGAGAGAAGAGCCCACTGGCCTGGGTGGGCCGGGTTAGAGCGAAAAAGTGGAGAAGAAAGCAGACGACAGAACATGTCTAGAGAAAGGGATACGAGTTAAAAAGAGAACATTTTAGAGAAAAAAAAATTTAATGTTTCTGTCGCTGTCTGGTTTCGAACCTAGAACCTATTGAATGTGAAGCGAACGCGTACCTCTAGACCACGACAGCCCCGTATGATTGGTCCTGATAGTTCAGTTCTTAATTATGTTCAAGGGATTTTAAAAAAAACCGAATCTCAATACACACATGGACATGATACTGTATTTCTATGTTCTATGAAATGATCCCAAGTAGAAATT